ACTATTAATTTTAAGCCCACAAATCCAGGGTTTGAAGGTCAGCAGCCTCATAGCCACAGTTTTCTTTTGAGAAAAACCTAAATTTTTTAAAATTCCATTTAAAATTCTAGCAGTGGCAATGTGTAAGGGCTGCAACTACCACGGGTCCTGCAGTACTGGGACAGCCCCACGTGGCCATTCAACAGGAAGATGCTCTCAATAAAGCCTTCATGTGCCTGATCCAGTCAGTATTGTTTCAATCCTCTGCTTTCATTAACGGCTGTATATTATAGGTTGACACCATAAATCATAACTGCTGCTGAGGCTCTGTTGTGATTCATAGTGTCAATGTTTTCCTGTTACTCACACTTGCAGCTATCATCAGTGTAACCCCTGCTACCATGTTTGGAGGATGTTGTGTATCACACCAGATATTGGCATTTTTTTCTGGATTTAAGTGGAATATTCCTTGCCAACTGTTGTGCAGAAGTGTTAGAATTGAGGTGGTGATCCATATCTAGCAGTGCAAACACTAAATCAGCAATGGGCTTAAGTAGCACAGGATGAGAAACCTCTTGCTTCCAAGGAGCTGCAGGGCTTTTGCTTGGGAAGTGAAGAAGGCATACAGACCCTCCTTGTCATCATCCATTCTGTTACAATTTACTTCATTACACAAAGTTCCTGCCTGGGGTATTTTATCTGAATCTCTGTAGATCAGTATGAACCTCAGCATGCTCTATGAATGGTAGTAAATATTAATTATAGGCAGTTCTGGTTTGTTCACACCACACCTGTCAAAAGCCCAAACTTTACTTCATCCTTTACTATAACATTATAAAATAATTACTCAGTTTTCTAATGTTTTACTGGACAGCTGAGTATAAATAATTTCCTATTTTTTGGTTTTTGGACTCTGAAGAGCTTTGTCTCTGCTACTAATGTCTTCTTATGTCTCTGGAGGGAATAAAGAAGAAGAAAGAAGATAATGACTTAATCAAAGACAACTCAAATGGTAGTTCTGCTGTGCAGACATAAACAGAGTTATTGGTCCTCTCAGGATTTCTTTTTGAGAACCATAGAAAAGCCTGCACTTAAGAAGTAAGAGTTAATACACACTTTTTGAAGTGTTTTTCTATTTGAGGAAAGGATTGAAGTCTCATTGGTTATTGGTTGAATCTTAAAACGTTTATGATGTTGTGAAGACAAGGTTTCTATCTTTACTTTTTCATTTAATCCTTACAGTAAAATCAGATAATCGGTAATAGCCTGATATTTTTACTGCTGTAAAATGAAACCTGAACCACACATGAATGTGGAAAATTGTTCAAGTAACCCGTGAACCTTTACTGATTGAACCTTAACCAAGTAATGGAGGATAGGAGGTACAATCAGGCATTTTATGTTATTCCAAGGTCTCTTTCTCTCATTTTAAAGATGTACTGGCATAAACAAATGTGGAGAAGACTTCATGCCAGTAGCATTGTTGGAGAGTAGCATTTCCAAAATGGGTTTCCCACAGGTCTTCTTTTCTACTTGGGAGAAAACAGTACAATCAAAGCTATCATATGAGGGGTATCAGATACCACAAATGAGGCATCTGCTTACTGTCCAGCGGCAAAAAAAAGGTGCGTTAGTTCAGGACTCCTTTCTCACTTTTTAATGGTGTTAACTGGAAATTACTAGGGAAATTCCAAGTGTAAATTTGGTCTGAATTGCTGAGACTAACCAAATGAAAGGTGAATTTAGAGTCAAAATAGTATAAGCAGCTTACAGGCTTATAACTATAGATGAAAGATTATATTCTGCGTGGGAGCTTTTCAGTCAATGTCACTAACCAGTTTGTTACTTTCCATCACAAAAAATGTGTATTTTAGGATGAAAAATCTTGGCAAATAAAGATGGAACTGTTACCAGCTGCTGGATTACTTCATTTTCTTTTAACCCTGTACCGTTTTGCAAGTGCTTTTTTAGTTTCTTTAAAAAGAAATAAATAAATGTAAACTGTTCTACTTACTTAATAGCATTAAGAGCACAAGTCTGCTCTGATGCCTGGGTCTGGATCAAACAGTGTAGATCAAAAAGAAGATAAATGTACCTGGTATTCCAGCATATCCAGAAATACACTACATGCAATAGAAGAACTAAAGAGAAGAATAATATATGTTGAGTATTTTCATTTCCAATGTTCCTTCACAGTTACTGGATTAACTCACCCTTCATCCCTTCTTTACTCATTCAGATCTTGACTCCTTTATCCTCTGCTGGCAGATTGAAGGTCTGCCTTGTGGTCAGAGGTCACTGAATTAATCACTTTAAACAAGAGCTTTGCTGAGGTTACAGAATTTCTAGTGTGACCTATTTCTCCTTTCTGTTTTCCACAGCTTTCCCAGCTTTTCCCCTGTTGTTTGTAAAGGAAAAATCAGTGGGATAAGATCAAGAGTCAGAAAGTGCCAGGAAATGAATGGTCTTGTGGTCCAGTTTACAGGAAAATAAATGACTCATATTCCTAAGCCGGGAGGCTGGCTTGGTTGCCGGCATCCCTCCGGTGCAGGACCTGGCACCACAGGATACTGCCCCAGCAGCAGCAGGAGGTGGTGATGTGGGTTCTGCGGCAAAGCTCTGGATGAGAAGTCCCCTCCTAATGTTAACAGTGACATCCACCAGTCAGTCCTAGCAGCTACCCAGAGAGAAGACCCAGTTACACCAACTGGAAATGTAACATTCCTAATCTTATGCCCAATTCAGTTTTCAAAGTAATGTGCAAGCATTGGAGTTGCTTAGGAGCTGGTGGTTTTCTTTGTTAGGTAATATTTGACTCTGCAGGGAGCAAATCACCAAAATAAAAGAAATCCCTGTCCCAGAACATTTTGGAAACCTGAAGTGTGACCAGACAAGGTGAATCAAGGAATTTATGCCTGTTCTGGTATGCAAATTGAGCTGTGAGGACTGCACTGATGCAGGAGTACTGTTTGGAGAAGGGCATAGTCTCTTCAGGGCAGACAGTGCAGTGGCATCGTGTGCACAGAGGCGAGTGTGAGCTAAACCATTGCCAGGCTCTTCTGTACAGCATAAATGCATTCCCCGTCACGCACTGTATGGATCGTCTTTTTAGCTAAGTAAGCAGTAACTCTGGTGACAAATATTGCCATCTGGCATGTCTATAATGCAATCAGTGTTCCTAATATGAAAGTCCTGTATGCACTTTGTTTAGAGACCTGGCAAAAGGAGACTATAGATATGTATCAATTTTGGACAGAAATTTATGCCACATGGGAAAGAATAAGTCAACTGGAATCACAGAATCATAGAACATCAGATTGGAAGGGATCTCAAGGATCATCTGGTGCAGCCAAATCTTCATAGTGTCCAGTGTTGGGGAATCCACCACTTCCCTGGGGAAATTACAGCAGTGTTCTTGTTGTGAGAGTCTAGTCAGAATCTCGCCAGGAGTAACTTGTGCCTGTAAAACCATCCCATTGGGTTTCTTCACAGGTTGATCTTCCAGCTGAATCCAGCTCACCAGTGTGGACATGTGCTTGGGCAGCATGGAAAGAGAGGGCTAGGAAAGGTCCCAGGGGATGTGTGGGCAGGACTGTACTTGGATGATGAAATACTCCTAGTGCTTCATTTATTGACTTGTCCTTTGGTCCACAGGCTTCCTTTTTACAGCCGTCTCCTCTCTTGTAACAGAGGGGGCCAATTTCCATGTGCATTAGTATTCCAGGGGCATCACAGGAGCAGCAAATCCTTTGAAGAGTAGAGAAGCTCTCTCTAGCTGTTGCCCTTTGGAGCCGATTCCAATACAAATCTGTGGTCAAACAAGTGTCCAGTGACTAATGCAACAATTGTACCTTGACCAGTTGCAATACTGTGCTCAGACCTTTTGTATATACTCAGTTTCCACTGATCCAAATAGGATTTAAAGAAAATGCTGTAATATTTAATGAAATCAGGGCTATGTTTGGAGCCAGGGCCCAAATATGTTTTGCCTTATTTCATTGTCTATTCAAATAAAGGGAATGTTCCATAAAAATGGCATTTCTCACTGACGCACACAGGGGAGTCAATGTAGATGGGAAGAAAGGGATGCTGTCTGCTCAGCCCTTGCCCCGTCTCACCCTCTCACCCTCTGGCATTGCTCTCAGGCATTCTGCAAGCACTGACTACCTTTAACTGGATGACTCTATTTTCTATTTCTTTGATCTCCAGTACACCTTGAATGACAGCATTTAAAATGTCAAATAAAAAAAGAAGTAATCCCATTAACTCAAAATAGGTCTGTAATTGACCTCTTAATATGGTGTATTTAACATGACACTGTACCATTTTCATATGTAAGAGGCGTGATTCTTAATAATTCAGTGTTTCTATTTTCATTCTATAGAATACATCTTCCAAGGGAGTTGGAAGAAAATTGTTAATTCCTGTCATTTATCACTCAGACACAGAAATAAAACTGCAGCTGCCACTGGCACAAAACTGCATTTGATGCTTGCCTTCCCATGCTTTGCTCCTGCAGTGTTGCACTCCAAAAACGTCACACCTTTTGTGCAGGAGGGAGAAGGTGCGGACAATCAGCATTTCCCATCGCAGGATTCAACTCAGACCCAGAGACATTCCAAGGAGCAAAATGTACCCAAAGCAGAACTAGTTAATTTGATTTCATGCTGGGCTCGTACACAGGATCTCCACTTGCCACCTCGCTCTCCCCAGCCAGCCCATCCCCTCCACCCCCAGGATGACACTTCACATTTAATCTAAACCCTCTCAGATTAAGTGAGTGTGTAATTTACTCCCACAATAAGGTCCATCACAACTATGGAGGTGATGTAAAGGGGAGTTTGTTTAAAAGAGAATTCAATCCTTAATGTTAAGCCTACAGGCCTGCATCAAAAACTCTCGTTTAGGCTGTCAGCAAAGCCTTTAATTTGTATTCTTCTTGCATTCATCTGGAATCTGTATTGACTGATGTTTTATTATTCTTTGCTAGATAAAAATATTTAAATCAAGAACAACCCAACTGCAGGAAGGGCTTTATTTAGTCATCACAACATGCTTCTCCCGCGGCTGTGAGTGTAGGAGGCACGGCGTTTTTCTACCACTTAACGTGTGAAGTCTGACATATTTTAAGAACATTATCAAACTGTAGCTTTAGAAATCACCTGAAACATAAAAACAAAGAAACAAATCAATAGTTCTTGACAATTTCCCTCAGCTGAATCATTCCAATATGCCTTTTTCACTTTTGTTACTCCTTGCTGCTTTGGCAGCTCAGGTCTTTTCACCCAAATAGGGTATAATGGACCATGAAAGTGGGATACATCCTTCGAACCCAAATGTCAGCTATAGTTAAGATGAGCTGCTCCATTTTTAGATGCACTGAGTTACCTTGTGCTTCACTGGAAGCCTGAGCACCAGCGTGAGAAAGGAACTGGGAAAAGAGGTGGCTCTTTGCTGGGATGGAGTGTGACAGCTCTCAGGCCATGGGTGGCTCCTCACTCAGAAACACTACGGAATAGCAGCTTCATTACAGAAACACAAGGGAAAGCATCATTGCCAGATTTACAGTATTTCGTCTTCTCACAAGCTGTGTATTTTACATAGCTGACAGTACATTTGTTACAACCCACCTGCAGATGCATGCCAGCAGGACACACTGGAAACTGTGCATCCAGACCAGGGGATTTCTTAAACACAGGCCTCTGACATCTGCAGCACACTTGTTGCATGGCTGGAACACAGAGCTTTTAATTTTGCTCTTTGATTCTTGCATTCCTGTTTTTAAATCTTGTTTGTGTAATTTATGCCTTGCAAGCCCACAGAAGTTTGGTTGAAAGGAACCTCTTTATTTGAACTCTCTGAAGTGCAATATTTCTCTTGGCTTCATCTTTCCCTCCTTCTAAGCTTATGTACTATTATCTGACAAATTGGATCTACTCTATTCCAGCAAGTTATTTGAACGCTTATTTGTAGCTGCTTTTAAGAACAGTAAAGCTTTCAGGTAATTTCGTTGTTATTTTATGTACCAGATGTGGTTTGTTTTCCACAGCTGGAGTACTAGAAAAATGTTGCATAACATCCGTCTATTCTTTTTCAAATAAAAATTAAACCCTATAGATAAAAGATAAGTGAGAAACCCAATACTGCTTTATTTCACTTGTCTCTTTATGCTGAAGTGAGTTCAGGCTTGCAACCATCTCCCTGCCAAAATACAAGCTGATTGCTGATCTTCCCTCTCCTTGGGCTTCCCCAGCCAGTCTGCTTCTCTGCATTTCATTGATTGCATTTGACTTAACATGTCCATTGACCAGGATTTGAAGCACTGGAAAAAAAACCCTTCTTTATTCAAACCTTCAAAGCAAGTTCTGTAAGCCTTTTGATTACTCTCCACTGGTTAGTGTCAACCACATTAGCAGATTTACTTTTGATACTTAGTTTCATTAAAAGGTAAGAAGTGCTCTGAAGTTTATCCACACTCTGCAACCTCTTTTTACTTCTTTTCTTTGGGAGTTACGGCATACAGGGGTAGCTGGTGTCTCTAAACTATCATTAGGGGGCTGTGGGATAAACCCATGGAAGAAACCCCCTGGCTCAACACAGAGATATGATAAGTTGCTGGATTTTCTCCCTTCAAAGGAGGTTAAATGCAAACAAACACAATTAGCTCACTGAGGATTGAGCAGGACAGCCAACATATGCATCCAGCTGAGAGCTCTGTGAGGTCTGGGTGACACTGACTTCTTCAAAGGAGAAGCCAGAAACAAACTGACTTCATGAAGCCCATGAAAGCTGCTTTTGCAAATCACAACTAGAGAAATGAAGGTATCAGTTTGGCAGATAGATATACTCCCAAGCACCACAATAACAGCAACTCATATTTCCTTGAGAATTGCTCATCCATGTGTATCTGTGTGCACTGCTTCAAATGTTCATGAGGTGGCATTTGTCACTGTGTGTTCCTGTTGCAAAGCAACCTGCCTCACTGAGGGAGGGCACAGAGCAGAAGGGCTGCTGTGGCCCATGTTTCATTTGAGGCCACGAGTAAATAGCCCAGTACAACATGCAAAGCCAGACAGTGCATAAGTTACTGATGTGCCAAATCAGCAGAAATCTACAAGGCAATGACCTTGAATCATTCTACGTATTTCAACATAGGCCACTCTCCACCATCTTTGGTAAGTCGTGGGAAACAGGAGAGGTGCCTGAGGACTGGAGGATGGCAAATGTCATGCCAGTCTATAAAGAAGGGCAAGAAGGAGGACCCGGGTAACTATAGACAGGTCAGCCTTACCTCCATCCCTAGAAAGGTGATGGAACAACTTATTCTTGACACCATCTCTAGACATATCAAGGATGAGGGGGTCATTAAGAGCAGCCAACATGGTTTTACCAAGGGGAAGTCATGTTTGACCAACCTTATAGCCTTCTATGAGGAAGTAACTAGGTGGATGGATGATGGTAGAGCGGTAGATGTGGTTTTTCTTGATTTCAGTAAGGCATTTGATACTGTCTCCCACAGCATCCTCATAGATAAGCTAAGGAAGTGTGGGCTTGATGATCAGGTAGTGAGGTGGATCAAGAACTGGTTGGAAGGAAGAAGGCAGAGAGTTGTGGTCAATGGGGCAGAATCTAGCTGGAGGTCTGTGACTAGTGGAGTCCCTCAGGGGTCGGTGCTGGGACCAGTGCTGTTTAATATTTTCATCAACGACCTGGATGAGGGAACTGAGTGTACCCTCAGCAAGTTCGCTGATGACACTAAACTGGGAGGAGTGGCTGACACACCAGAAGGCTGTGCTGCCATTCAGCGAGACCTGGACAGGCTGGAGAGTTGGGGGGGAGAAATTCGATGAAATTCAACAAGGGCAAGTGTAGAGTCTTGCATCTGGGGAAGAACAACCCCATGTACCAGTACAGGTTGGGGACTGACCTGCTGGAAAGTAGCGAAGGGGAAAGGGACCTGGGGGTCCTGGTGGATAGGAGGATGACCATGAGCCAGCAATGTGCCCTTGTGGCCAAGAAGGCCAATGGCATCCTGGGGTGTATTAGAAAGGGTGTGGTTAGTAGGTCAAGAGAGGTTCTCCTCCCCCTCTATTCTGCCTTGGTGAGGCCGCATCTGGAATATTGTGTCCAGTTCTGGGCCCCTCAGTTCAAGAAGGACAGGGAATTGCTTGAAAGAGTCCAGCGCAGAGCCACAAAGATGATTAAGGGAGTGGAACATCTCCCTTATGAGGAGAGGCTGAGGGAGCTGGGTCTCTTTAGCTTGGAGGAGACTGAGGGGTGACCTCATCAATGTTTACAAATATGTAAAGGGTGAGTGTCAGGATGATGGAGCTAGGTTTTTTTCAGTGATGTCCAGTGATAGGACAAGGGGCAATGGGTGTAAACTGGAGCATAGGAGGTTCCATGTGAACATCAGGAAAACTTCTTTACTGTGAGAGTGACAGAGCACTGGAACAGGTTGCCCAGGGGGGTTGTGGAGTCTCCTACGTTGGAGATATTCAAGGCCCACCTGGACAAGTTCCTGTGTGATGTACTCTAGGTTACCCTGCTCTTGCAGGGGGGTTGGACTAGATGATCTTTTGAGGTCCCTTCCAACCCTTGGGATTCTGTGATTCTGTGAAATATATGTTTTATTCATTCATGCTGTAAGCACTTCATGGTCACTGGCTTTGCAGTGTTTGAGACTTAAAACCTCCAAGAGGTACAAAAGTGAGTACCCCACACATGGGATCAGAGGAGGCTTGCTGACATGGCAGGACTCAATGTCTTTCTGTTTTATTTTTAATTTTATAGATAGAGTAGATCTGGAATTTGCAGACCAAGTCATTAGGGCTTCAGAGGGTTTAGGTGCCAGCCGCTTTGGCATTAACTAATATGTGAGTATATAAGCAGCATTTTCTGGGTTTAGGGTGCCACAAATGTTAATTAACAAATGAATCCTGCTTGCCTTACCTAGAAAAATCCCTCTGTCAGTCTTGGACCTTCCTCCAAAAGCCAACAGCAAAGGCCTTTTTCATAACTGTTGCAGTAGCACTGGGCACAGATCATGTCTTGACTAACGGGATGTGATGCAATAAAAAGCTTTAGAGATAATGAAACCATCTCTTAAGAGTAATGCATCGAGAGGAGGCTGGACTCTGTTAGAGGAAATTATGTATCACCATGCCCCTGCTCCCCACAGGCAGGACCTTGTAGGCAGCTCTCTGTTCACCCCACTGCAAACCCAGCAGCCAGCACACTGCTGCTCACTGAAAAACTGTGTTGAATGGGCCAAAAGAGGTTTCACCACTTGGGCTCTCACCCCTCAGAGGGCAGGCTGGTATGGGTCTACAGGGTGGGAGTGGAAAGCCTTATGTGCTGCTAATTTCACTTCCACAGGGATATAAAGGTATGAAGTGTTTCACAGCCCAGTGCCATACGTGGTCCTTCCTCAGGGAATGTGCAAGCCTGGACAGTTCATGGATGGAGTTGTCATGAGGGTGAGTTCTCAGCAGAAAAGGAAAGAGGTATTTTAACCAAGCAGTTTTAATATATCTTAGCTTGATTGGGCAATGTTCAAACATTACAGAGCCAAGGTTCCTGGGTTTCTAAACTGTATTTCATCCAGGAATTTGGAGGTAGCCCATAGGGCCAACAAAGCAGAGGAACGATGTCTTGAAAAGGAACGAGAGCTGTAAGATATTCTTGGTGGCAATGTTACAAAAGTGCCAGAAGGAATGGGCAGCACAAGGAGGTGGGTATCACATAAGAGCAAGGAGGTTGGAAGGCACAGTCTGTGAGGCTGGTAGCTGTAGACTTAGGAAGGTGCATGACAAAGAATAGAGGAAAATTGTTTTAGTTTGGGTAAGACAGGATTGGCAGACTCAAGGTGAGGCAGAGAAGAAAGAGGATGCAGAAACAGGTTGCATTAAACTGGATCACTGGTAACATGCCATAGGAAATTATTCGAGCTGTGCATTTCTTTATATCTTTTTTACAGTTCTATGCCAAACATGCCATATAAGTATCTTAACCTTGCTAGGGGTGAGAGCTTATTTTCCTGGTTATCTCTATTGGCTCTGCATCATTATAGTTAAAGGGTTCTGCTCTTTCCACAGCATGAGCTCAATACCAAGTGCAAATTGTTAAAGATGAACCAATGTGCAAGCACATGCCAGGGGGACCTGACAACTCATGGTGCAGCTCAGCCACTGGCACCACACCAGCAGTCAGCTGAGCAGTGAGCATGCAAGCCTTTTCTCTGATTATATTAGCTCTTTGAAATAAAAATGTCTCTAGAAGAAAAGCATTAATGTGATGCTGACGGGACATATTTACCCCTGATCTCAAAGCACACCCTACAGGTGATGACATCTAGTCACACTTAGAACCGGAGGCTGAGAAATTCAACAGTGTCTGTGCATCCAGACCTGGATCACTGCAAACTTCTCAGGATTGTTAGCTGGGAAGAGGAGGAGATCACTAATGCTCATAGCATCTGCCGACCAATGTGCTTCTTGCATCAGCCTCCCATCTGAGAAACCACATTATTGCCTGAATTCTGCCTCATTGCATTGTGCAAAGCATTTCTAAGATTTAATTTCACACATTATCCAGATTCATATCACTAACCCGCAATTGTGCTGGTGAAGAAGTTCTTTGGTTCTGATGTTAACGTTCCAATATCCCACTAATTGACTCTCAAGAGAATCAGTGCTCACTTTAGTGGAGCACTGCAGAACTGCAGCTACTTCAGTCTTTTAAAATCAAGATCACTTTTAAAAATAAAATGTTTTTAAGGAGGTGAGATAAAGTACAGGATTAAAAGAACAGACAAACAATATTATTATAGGCAGCATCTCTGTTTTCATTCTGAACCGTACTTTGCAATCAAACACACCACCTTGCCTGTTAGGACTAACATTTGTTTTAAAGCTGCACTGGGCAGGTAAGAACTACACTGAATTAAAAGGTACCTTTTTGTTTCCTATAAAATTTAAAATGAATAACCTAGGGAAAATAACTGCCTGACTGCTGAGAAATGATACATAAAGCACAGCCATAAACACGTGGTATAATCTGTGTACGTATTTAAACGTTCCCTAGTTGCCCCGATTACAGCTTGCCACATCAACGAAACATCTGGTCTGGTATTTTTCTTACATTGGAACCTCTTGGCCAAGCAGGAATTTTTATCTTGAAAGCAGCTGAAGCCTTTGTTCACCATCTCACAGGACATGCTGTTAGGCTGTTGTGCTGAAGATCTTTTTTAATGACGTGCTTGATAGGACTGAACGGTGGATGTTCACCAGCTTTCACCTTCACTGTTAATAACAGTACAGTTCCTATCTGAAATGTCTTCTGTAACTGTGTAATTACACACCTCATTTATCCAATTGTTAAGCCAAGAGTCTGATTAAATATTAACAACTCCTTCGTTCTCCTAGTGTCATTAGTTGGAAAGCAACCCTGTAATCTCACGTAACACATGATGGTAATTATCCTTCACAGTCCCCCTTAGCTGAAAACCCAGCGTAATCAGAGCAGATAAGGTTGCCCAGCAGAAAATACATTACCTCTCTGTTCCTTAATGCTGCCCAAGCCACGCTCTGTGTGTGTGGACTGTCCACGACAAGAAAAGCAAGCAGGTAGAGAGTACTGCAGAGGAGGGCACTGGCTGGGTTTGCTCCTCTAATCCCATGCTGCATGTTAAGAAACTGCAGCCTGGCTTCTGAAGTTGCAGGTCAGTTTTTACTTCAAGTAGAAGGTCAGTTTGGTTTTGCCCAACCATTTGTTCCCATAGAAAGCAAGGGACAGAGCAGAGCAGCTTGGCTTGTGACCGGCAACATGAGAGCTGGAAACAATGCTTTTGTGCCTGGCCTTGCATCAGAGGGGAGCATGCTCTGTGAACTTCACAAGTTATTAGGCAACCTCAGCTGAAATGCATAAACCAGGAGCAAGCTGCACTTCTGTTGCACTCTGCATGGGAGTATCACCAGGCTGCTTAAAATAAAATGTTGCAGAAGAGAGCATCAAAATGCCGTAAGTGACCCAAAGTGATGGCAAACAGATGTTTTGTTCCGCCTTCTGAGGAGTGCTGTGTGCTGCTGCCCACAGCCCTCACTGAAGACCTTGGGGATCCTGAGCTGTCCCTGTCCCAGGGACCAGGACCATGCCAGGGGGATGCGTGAACTGGAGACTCTGAGCCACAGACCGGGGGAGACACATGGGGGTGGGCATTGTGGAAACTGATCCAGCAGATGCCCCTTTCCCAGCTGCTGAGGCAGCATTAATAGAAGACTGCCTGGAGCAGCGGGGCTTTTCCCCCATTAACATCTTATTACGATGAAAGGAGCAGTTTATACCTCCCAGAGTTATTGCTTCCAGGCTGTCTGTAAACTCAGGTGAAACCGTGCATCTGGTTCAGGTTTTCAGGATTTCCGTTGCAGTGGAGGGGACGGGACCGTAATTCGTGTGTGAAGAAAGAAAGGCTGGAGGTGGGCTGGGACAGGGGCTTGCCACCCACTGAGCTGGGGCCACCAACCCCGATGTTGGCTGCGCACAGCTCCTGTCTCCCCTCTTCCACATTGCAGTGCAGCGCGGCGCGGCCAGTGCTGGCACTCCACAGTGTTGGGCACAGCCATGCATGGGGGCTGTGGGAGGGGAAGGGGTCAAGGTTTGATCCGAGACCTCGCAGAGCATCAGGGTGGGCTGCTCCAGAGCAGGGGCTTTGCAGCTGGTGGCACTAGAAAGCCCATAGGAGAGCTCCCCCCATCCGTAACAAGCTGCAGTGAAGCTCAAGCTCCCAGAACGGCCCTGGCAGGTGATGAATTTGAAATAAGATTTGCAAGATCAGAGGGAGAAATCAATAAAGTCCATCAGCCAGGATCTAGCAGCTGTCTGAAACAAGAGGCTACAGCAGCTGATGAATACTCTAAGGTGGGGGAAATGAATTAAAAATAAGACCAAAATATGATCAGAAAGGATGCTCTCCAGCTGCTACCCATATAGGAGAGCAAAACTCAAGAGAAATAACTACATTCAGGTATAACCCTTAAAACACAGGTAGAGCAGCCTCTTTGAGGATGGGTAATACCTTTGTATGGTGGGCAGGTTATGTGACAAGTTACCGAATAGCCCATTGTTCAAGTTGTAGCTGCCTGGTTTGCAGTTCATAAAGCTGAATTATGAATTCCTGTATTCTTTCTGAAATCCACTTTAAACAACCCTCATCCACGCCTCTGCATAAGCTTGCCATGATACTCACACCAGTTGTGTAAATAACAGCTTCAGTGAAATACTATTGATACTCATGACTCTCAGCTCCAGCAGGGATTCTTTGAAAGCTGAGTAAATGCTTGAGCTTACCTCAGCAGCATACATCTTGCAGGTGGGACAGGCAAGAGGACACGCTCTAGCCTGGGAAGCATTGGGGAACCCCTATGCTGTCTCTCGCATGTGGCAGAAGCCTCCCTCTGCATCGTTTTCCTTTCCAGCCAAAGCCATAAGAAATGGGATTTAAGCCAAAAGATGTTAAATAAGGGTAAGAAAGTCAGCAGGACACCAACGTGTCTGGGAGGCAGGGTGGCCACTGGGGCAAGCCTGGGGAAATGGGAGGAGTTTCCCAACTTCACCACCACAGCTGGGACACAGCACTGGGACCTGCTGCTGCCAAGCCAGGCTGTGTGGGGAAACCACAGACCCTGCTGTCACTGGAAGCATTGGCTCAAAGCCTGCCATGGGGTAGACCTGTCTGTCCTGAACTTGTGCCACCAGCCAGGTACCCGTGTGGCTGCATCTCTCCCCACATTGCCCAGGCCACCCATGGGAGAAGAACCCTTCAGTCACCAGTGGACAGCAAGCCTGGAGCTGCAAACTCGTGTGCCTACCAGGCACAGAGTGAATCAGGGTGTATGAAGCTTTTGTGTCAATGGATGAAAGGCGTATGAAGTATTAGCTTGGACACCTGTTTCCAGCTGTGTTCAACAGCTTTAGTGGGCTCCTAATGAACTAGAAACATAATCTCAGGGAAGGAGGCACTGTCATGACCACTGCTCCTGGAGATGTTTCTGGCTCATTACAGTCTTTGTGCATTGCACTAAATAAACCACCCAAAATGACGTTGTTGCTATTTAAAAGGATTATAACAATTGACCATGAGAAAGCATCTAATAGACCTCTGGTGAAAAGTCAAAGGGAATATACTTAAACCTAGATTTCTGCAGCACATCACACTATCTTCTGTATTGTTGCAAGGCATCTTATTAAAAAATAAAACCACCTGGAGGAATAACTTTGTTCAGTTAAGGATGACCTGAATACAAGGCTTTTTTCCCTCTGAACAGACAATTTAAAAACAATTTTTGTTTTAATTTTGTTTTAAAAAACAGTATCTTGATCCTCAGTGATTACTGATACTGGTGCTACATGTCAGGAGCCTGCCCATCCTCCTGGTGATGCAGAGGATCCAAGAACACAATCACTGCTCTGCAGCAAAACTGCCCATTTCCCCAGAAAGAGCTGTTCAGAAAGCCAAAGCAGCACCAGTTCCAGCAACACGGCGGTCCCAGCAAACAGAGACGTATGATCTCAGGGAGCCACCTGCAAAAGCCCACACAAAAGTGCTCCCCAGAAAGCTTCCGGCCTCATAAACCTCTCACAGGCCCCCGAAGGCCATAAATTCTGCACAGCCTCTCACAACTGTTTCAAAACACTTAATGTTTTCCTTCTGCTCTGCGGTTCCCTGCCCACAGTGGAGATCTCTGCACCCACCTGAAACTGAGCCCGGCCAAGTACTGGTCCATATGCCAAAACTGCTATGGAATTGAGCTGAATTGTCTTTGCTGTTGTCTGTCGAGGTAAAACATTTGATGCTCTTCCTTACGACTTGATTTATTTTAAATAAAAAAAGGGGGGAAATACCCAACTGATGTAAGTATTTGAGTCAGATTTTCAATATCTAATGTCAAGCTCTAAGAAACCAGTGAAACAGGTTAGTGACATCAGCTGAACTGAAGAATTTGAGTGTGGGACAAGCATGACATTTCTCTCCATAAACATAAAATGTTATTAAAAAAACAGCATCCCAAACAAGGAGAAAAACCTTGTAAAGAAGATGCCTTATCCTGTCACTGCAGAAAGGGTAGCAGGAGCAATCACTGAATGAGTTACTTAAAACTGATCAGCAAAGAAAAGTTAACTCTTAAAGATATAGGAAGGTATAGGGATGTGGACAAACACAGTTAGACCCTGGAAAGGAAATTAAATGAGAATGTGAATGTGAAACTGGAAGTGCCCATATCCCACCTGAGAAAGACTGCTGCACAGAAACTAGGAATGGTGAGCCTGTCTCGCTGCAAAACATCCACCAAACAAAGAGCATCACTAGGTGAGCCTAAAATATATCATGAAGAGGAAAAAAAAAAGCTACCTCAATAATTGTAGCCATTTTGGTCCATCCTTCACATTGAACTATAACTTTGAAACATTTATGAAGCCAATAGATAATGAAAGACATGAAGGTCTGCATAGACTCCCTGAATTGTCTACCGCCAACCTTATATCCTACCATTCTTCAGTAAGATGAGCAACCTTTTGCACTGTGGAATGCAGTGGGTGTAAGCTACCAGCACTTCAGCAAAGAAGTGCCATATAGAAACCAGTTATTTAGCCAAGTATTTTTGTCATGGTCAGAAGCTGGCCAAGAGGAAGATGACTGTGGGCTGTGCCGAGATGGGAGCCATCCGGTAAAGATGGGCACCACCATTTTTGAAGGCTCAGCATTTCAAGTTATTTTATTTGTTTTTATTAACCAGGTAAGAGAATCCGAATGAAACCTGTAGATCTGTCAGCAGTTGGTATTGTGAAGGTCATGGCAATACCAAAATATTATGTATGAGACTTAGATGACTTTGTAGGTTGGAATATTAGAAATGGATTAAATTTGATTGTGCCAACTCCACATCATGCACCTGGAGGCACCAAAGTGTAGCTGTAGGTTTCACACGGGGACTTATTTGGCTTCCACAGCTGAAGAGGAGGACTATTAGCTCACAAGATGATTACGAGCTACCAGAGCAATGAGGCAGTAAGGAAGGAGATCAAACTTTACGACCTGAGGAGCTCATTCCTATTGCTCTCACACAGCCTCACCCACGGTCACTCTGGCTTTTTTCCCCAACGCACTGAAACAGCCCCGTTTTTCCCTGCTGCCTGCAGCACCCATGGGAGCTGCTGTACCCACACACACCCCAGCAGCAGAACAGTTCTCAGTGCTGTTTGCAGGGGCCTAATGCAGAGAGACCACAAAACAAAGCCATAAGAGCCTCTGTAGTGTCTTTGGAGCTCGGCTGAGTCTGGAAGCCATCCTTGCGGCTGGACAGTGAAAGCGATGTTGCTCTTCCCACCTGCCACCATCTCTGATATCCTGTCCCCATGAAGGGACAAAGGAGAGGGCCGCATGCTCCCCACTCTCACTCATTGACCAAAGCACTGAGTGTTGAAGTATCAAAGCCCATCAAACCAAACTTTACACTGGTTATTTTAACATGCAGCCTGTACCAGATTTCACCAGCAAAGCATTTCATAAGGGATAAAAAGTATTCTGTTCCCAGCAACAAGTCATATTTTTCTTACTCAGACAGTGATGGAGCTTGTAAACAGCTCCCATGGTGGTAACAACGTGCCTGAAAAGGGAAAGGCTGAAATAATAGTGATAGGCTCAGTGTGCTTGAACCTGTCCTCTTCCCTGGACACACATCTCCCCAGAGGAAAAGGGATTCTACACACATTGAATGACTAAAAGGGATTTTGCTGGAAAGGCCTGATGCATACACACAGCTAGGGCAACAGAACATACTGTTTGCCACGGCACACCTGAAAACCAAACTGCTATTTTACATTTTCATGGCTGCTATTTTACATTTTCAATGAAACTTCGATCAATAACCAAGGCTACAGGCAGGACAACTCTGGCAGCTATATAAAAAAAACCCACACACCTTTTCAGCTACCTTTATTTGCCTTCATTCCTACCAAATCTCCAGCTCTGAAAGTACTTCTGCATTTCTTCAGCTCCTCCCCATCTTTTATTGTTCTGGACCGGTACTTTCTGCAAACTGCAGTTTGGGGGGTGACTTTAAGCCAGTTTAATCCAACTTGCATTGTAACTAATAGAGCAATTAACCTCTTTGTAACTAGCTAAGTAAAAATACTCCTTGGTTTTATCCTGTTTCGGTTTAGTCTTCTTCACTCCTCATCCATACGAACACTCACAGGCTAATAACCTATCAGTGAGTACATTCACTGAGGTCCAAGTAAGGTCCTTGTGCTGAGATTTCTTCTCTTGTTCAGATCACTGTAATCAGCACAAGGAACCGGATTTTTCTTGTTACACACTCAATTTTCTCATTAATTAATTAGAAGAGATAAGATATGCTGCTTTGTAATTCAAATTAATCCTGCCTTTTTATCATATGCTCGTGAATACTTGCCCAGTGCCACGCTCTTGGATAATGAGCAACTACCACATGCCAGAAGAGGCTGGTTGTCACAGATGTCACATCACGGACATCAGTCCTGCAAAGGTTTGCAATGAGTACTACAAACTGCCACAGAAATACCCAAAGCATCCAAAAATGAAGTCTCTGCAGGATCAGCTCTAGTTGCCTGATAGGCACCAGCGGCAGTGTGTCCCTCCATAGGCAGCTCTTCCTGGAGGGTCTCCTGGCTGGATGCAGCAACCACAGCTTCTGCCGGTCCTGCAACCCAGCACCGTCTGGACAGCAGAGTAAACTGAGTCCTGAGCAGCTACAGCACTCTGTTATCGGGGACACACAGAGCCTGGCACAGGGGACACAAAGCACAGGACTCAACACGCCTGGCTCTGCGCTTGGCTTACCTGGGAACAGGTGAGCCCAGATGCATGGCAAAACCTTGGCCCCTTCTGACCGAACCTCGCTCCTGAGACACATTAGCCTTTTGCGGTCTATGAGAATGTTTCCAATATACAACATTGATATTCCACCAGTTGAAATATGGAGCAGCTCAAAGTTCTCCCATCCGATTACAATTCTGGCCATTAGCACAGCAAGCTATTAAAACCAAGTTAAAGAAGGAAGGTGGCTGCATTTACCATGCTGCTTTATTTCTCAGAAGCGTGGCATTTAGAAATAAACTAATCACTTCCGTTTGAGAGCTTGCAAAGCACTATTTGCTGTGATGTCTGAAAGCCTTGGGAAGGACTTTGATACATTTAAAGGTTTTATTAGAATAGCTATGGGGTTTGCCTGTACAGAGCAAGAATTCTGAATGGCTGCGCTGAATTGATACTGACGCACATCAAATCTAACAGTGATATAATGAGGGGCAGGAAAATTGAAAGGTGAAAAGGTGAATGGCAAGA